GGCTGCTATGGCTGGGGCTGGGCCAGGCTAAAACCAGGAGCCAGGAACTCCATCCTGGTCTCTCACATATGTAGCAGGAGCATTATCCACTGCCTTCCAGGAGCATCAGCAGGAAGCTGGATGGGAAGCTGTTCTGTTAGTGAATTTGGTTGTGTCATGTGTTTTCATGATGCTTACTTCTAACGCAAGACACCCTTCAAAATTTCTTGTAAGGCTGGGGGTCAGTATTGTGGCCCAGCAGGTTAAGCCACTGCCTGCAATCCCAGCATCCCTTATGAGTACCAGTTCTAATCCAGGCTGCTCCACTTCCAATCCAGTTCTCTGCTAAGCACCTGGGAAAGCAAAAACAAGATGGCCTAGGTGCTTGGGGCCCTGCCACACATGTGAGAAACCATGATAGAGTTCTAGACTCCTGGATTCAGCCTGGCTCAGCCCTAGCCATTGTGGCCATTTGGGGAGTGAATGAATAGATAGATTTCTCTCTCTCTCTCTCTCCCCCCCTCCCTTCTCTTTGTAATTCTGCCTTTCAAATAAATAAATATTTTTAAAGAGTTCATACAACTCAGAGCAATCAATTCAAATTAAGTTCAATCCTTACCAAAATTTCAATGACAATTTTTACAGAAATAGAAAAAAATACTAAAATTCATGTGGAACAAAAGATATTGAATATCTAAAGTAACCTTGAGAAAAAAAAAAAAACTGGAAACATCATTACTACCTGATTTCAAAATCTAGTAATTATTTAAATGTAATTAGAACTTGATATTTGAATATTTTTGTAAAGTGATAAATTCTATGTAAACATTGACCTTTAATTTTTTTGTTTCATAAATTTTAGTTATTATATATGGATTCCATTTAGAATAGTGCATACAGTAAATCTTCTTTCAAAATTAATTTTAATCTACTTAAAATGCAATTCAGCTTAAGCTCTTAAGGCATTGTTTATTTCTAGTAAATTATATATATATTTCTGTACATATATATGTATGTATATACACACTCACACATACATTCACATTTATGCTTCCTTGAGTTTTAAAAGCCTATTTGGGTCAGGCACTTGTTCCTTGGCATAATAGTGTCTAGATGTGAATCCTTTTTGATTCACAAACTCCCAAGGGCCCATGGTGATATGATCAGAACCAGGCCAATTGATGTTTTAATCCTTTCTGTCCTTCAGGAAGAAATGGAATTAAACCTGTTTTTATTTAGTATTTGTTGCACTGAGCTAAGATTAAAAATAGAATGCAGAATCAAATCCTTGCCAAATAATCTTAATTAGGCAGGGTACTAACCATGGGAAATGAATTATATAAGTAATAACTTGGTGAAAAACTCAGGAACAAATCTAAATAATCCAAGCAGAGATAGCAAAGTATTCTTAATACTAGTATTTGCTGATAAAGGACTAAAACATGGAACTAGCGTGTCAATTTCTAGTTCCAGCTCTGTCCTGAACTTCTTGCATCAGTTTGGGCATGGCTGCTGTCTTTGGTTGGCATTAAATTCCTTGTCTTCAAACTGGCTTATACTTTACAGAGAAATTGAAGTAACGTTTGAAATAATAAATATGAAACTTTACTTTCATTAGAATAAAATTTCCACAACAACAAAAAAATAAGGGTACATGATATACATTATATCTGATCTTTAAGCTCATAAAGCAAGTAAATTAGGGGATGAAATTTCATACTTTAGAAGGAATCACTTAAAAAATGATTTGACTATGGGCTGGCATTGTGACATAGTGTGTTAAGGTACCACTTATGATGCTGGCATCCCAATTTGAATCCTGACTGCTTCACTTGTGATCCAGCTCTCTGCTTATGCACTTTGGAAAGCAACAGAAGATGGCCCGAGTGTTTGGGCCCCTGCCACACACATGAGACCTGGGTGAAGTTCTAAGCTCCTGGCTTTGGCCTACTATAACCTTGGCCACTGTGGCCATTTGGGACTGAACCTGCAGATTGAAGATCTCTTTCTCTCTATCCCTTCCTACCCCTGTCACTCTGATTTTCAAATAAATATATAAATCTTTTAAAAAATTGTTTAACTAAATATATAAGTAATACATTTTAAAAATAAATTTATCTACAAAAATTTGATTCATACACAACTTTTGGAAAACATATCTCATACAAAGTCATATCATTGTGGATTTAATTATTGCTCAACACATAAGGCAATTCTTTAGAGTAACTAGTACATTAAATTAGTGGTGCTCAGAGATTCATGACTTCTGAAACACTGATAACCTGTAAACTCTCATTAAGTGAGAATTTCACAAATTGACTCAGTTATAACTTAAATATAATTAGATGATAAATACCAAAGAGCAATATAAACACTACATGCCTCTTAGATATTTTGCATAATATTAAATATACTTGTGAATATAGAAACTACAAGTCTTGAATGTCTCTAGATTTTAGGTGAAAGCCATATATGTTCTCTCCTATTAATTTTTTAAAGATTTATTTATTTATTTGGAAGGCAGAGTAACAGAAGGAGAGAGAGAGGGAGAGAGAGAGAAAATGAATCTTGCATCTTCTGGTTACTCCCCAAATGACCACATCAGCCAGGTCTACGCCAGGTTGAAATCTATCGGGGTCTGCCAGGAACTCCATCTGGGTCTCCCACATGAGTGGCAGGGACCCAAGTACTTGGACCATCTTCTGCTGCCTCCCCAGGCACATTAGCAAGTAGCTGGATCAGAAACAGAGCAGCAAAGAACTTGAACCAGTCCTTTGATGTGGCATGCCAGTGTCTCAAGCAGTGACCCAACCTGCTGTATTAAAATGAGTGCTTAATGAAGGAAAATTTTTTTTGAGACACTGGATTAAAGACTCTAGGAGCCAATAGTAATTGTAATGTAATAACTAGTATATAGATTATTTCAGAATATGTAAAAACAGTTTTTAAGAAAATTGTCTAATCCTGTATGAAAATAAATCATTGGGGCTGGCATCATGGTTCACTTGGTTAATCCTCCATCTGCAGTGCTGGCATCCCATATGGGCACCAGGATCTAGTCCCAGCTGCCCCTCTTCCAGTCCAGCTCGCTGCTGTGACCGGGGAGGGCAGTGGAGGATCGCCCAAGTGCTTGGGCTCCTGCACCCGCATGGGAGACCGGGAGGAAGCACCTGGCTCCTGGCTTCGGATCGGCACAGTGCCAGCTGTAGCAGCCATTTGGGGAGTGAACCAATGGAAGGAAGACCTTTCTCTCTGTCTCTCTGTGTCTCTCTCTCTCTCTCTCTCTCTCTCTCTGTCTGTAACTCTACCTGTCAAATAAATAAATACATAAATAATATTTTAAAAAAATCATTGCATATGATCATATGGATTTGATTATAAATGAGGCTAGTTGTTTTATGGACAGGACTAATAGGAAAATAAGGAATTTCCCAAGATGATTGGAAGAAATGTTCTAAGCAGGAAAACCAATTTTTTTATAAGAAACGACTGACATAGTAACCCACATTTTTAAAAGGAACCTGTGAAACTGTGCCTCCAAGTTTGATGACAAAATATCCTTAACAAAATATCTGTGTCCAGTATGGGGAATGATGGATGGACCAGTGTCAAAAGGGATGGGACAAAACGCTGAGCAGGCTACTTCCTTCCTTGCCCTCAAATAGATCTAGCACACCTAAGGGAAACTTCCATGGCTTGATTATTGATGACTTAGTTAGTTAAATCTTTTGTTACGCACTAAGTCATGGATAAATGGCATGTACTCTTCTGTAACACAGTAGAGCCTTTACCACTGGGGTGGTGCCTTTAACAGCCACTATTTGATAATGGAAGGAGATCTGACTTAAACTCAATAGAAAATTTTTGATTAAGATCTTGCAAATCTGAGCACTTCTCTAACTATACTCAGATCACCTACAATAGCTGGCTATCCTCCCAGTAATCTCCTACTGCCCATGACAGAGTTTGGCTTCTATTCCAATTCTTGGTGCATAAAAGGTGCTCAGGAAACATTTGATGAAATGATGAGTGAATGAATGAATGATTTATTGTACATACTAGCTATGAGATCTAAGAATGGTCACACCAGAGTTTGAAGGTATGACAAAATTCTTTAAACGCAGAGCCGGCGCCGTGGCTCAATAGGCTAATCCTCCACCTTGCGGCGCCGGCACACCGGGTTCTAGTCCCGGTTAGGGTGCCGGATTCTGTCCCGGTTGCCCCTCTTCCAGGCCAGCCCTCTGCTATGGCCAGGGAGTGCAGTGGAGGATGGCCCAGGTGCTTGGGCCCTGCACCCCATGGGAGACCAGGAAAAGCACCTGGCTCCTGGCTCCTGCCATCGGATCAGCGCGGTGCGCCGGCTGCAGCGGCGGCCATTGGAGGGTGAACCAACGGCAAAGGAAGACCTTTCTCTCTGTCTCTCTCTCTCACTGTCCACTCTGCCTGTCAAAAAAAAAAAAAAAAAAAAATTCTTTAAACGCTGAATTCTTAATTAGTAGAATTTGTTTGGTGAGGATTTCCATTCATATTTCTTCCAAGGAAAAAAGGAAGAAACAACCTAATACATCTACTTATCATCATGTTCCAAACATGTGTGATTTAAATGCAGGTTTTGAAATAGTTATTTACCTAGGGCAAGGCATGGCTTTATACAGATATTTATGCTGTGAAATATAGATTCATGCAAACTAGCCTATACCTTCCTAGAAGGCAATCAATAAAATTACCAATTAGGCCAAAATTTGCTCCCTACTCTGGCTCTTACAGGAATAAGTAGACATACACCTCAGCTGAAAACATATTCAAAATAAAGAAAAAGACAGAGGTAACCATCACCATTCCAATTTCCTAGTGAAAAGCAATACACGTACTCTAGAAATCCAAAGGAGAATGTTTATGGAAACAGCTGACGGAGATAGTACAGACTGGCACAGAAAATGCTTGCTGTTTTGTGGGAGAAAACAGCCTAAGGAAAGGCTTCTCCGTCCATCAGCTGGCGCTCAGTGTTTGTGTTTCTTCAGATTGCTAGGCTGGATGTGGATAGCTTGTTCAGCAACATCGAGTCGGTGCATCAGCTATCGGCCAAGCTGCTGTCGTTGTTGGAAGAGGCCACAGCAGCCGTGGAACCGGCCATGCAAGTAATCGGTATGTTTGTTCTCTTCTCAAGTTCTACAATACAACAGGAAATAATGTTTTTATTGCCTCCCAGTGCTTTGGTTTTATGCTTCTAACTCATCAGGCTTCCCAGGAGATACATAAATGCTAAACTCATCTTCAGCTCATTGTAATTACACAAACTGTATTTATTTTCAAATAGGTTTATATCTATTTGCCGAGTCCCACTGTAGCACTAAGCACACCATTTGCTTTTTAATTTCCAATCTTTCAACCCTTTCGTCTTCCAGATGTTCTTTCATTTTGTTTTATGGCTAACACTTACTTGATCTTTAAAGAATTAATTATTTAAATATTTTAATAGTTTTACCATTTTCATTTGCAATATTTTTCAGAACTTGTGCCCATGTATCAACTGATTTACAGAATGTAATTGTTTTGCATTAGGAGTTTATATGATTTATTAAAAAATTCCATGTTCTATTTTCCCATGTTTTTCCTTTCTTTCCCTCTGTGTTACTTGCTTTCCAAATACATTCTGACTCCCAGTCATCGCTGTATTTATCCCTTTACTCCTAAGAATTTCACAAATAGCTACAAACAATATTCTTTGAATAGGGAACCAAACTTCCATCCTTTCTGTTTCTTGGGAGTTCCAAAGAACTCTGGAAGGCAGCTTCCACATCTAAGATATCATATACATAGTGCCATGTGAGCTAATAACTCTTTTTAAAAATTGTTTTCTATTTCACACATCATATATAATATATACTCATTACAAAAATATTAAAACAAATTCCAGAAAACATAGAAAACCATAAAAGTCCTTTTCATTCCATTCTTCGAAGCCACTATCATCCCTTTGGTAACTTTTAATATCAGTTTGAGGTGGGTTATTTAGATACAGATATATAGACACAAATATAGACCTTTTTTTTAGTGATTATGTCTTTCTTGTTAGTGGAAATAAGAATGGCATTAAAGTGTCTCTCCATAGTGTTTATGGAAGCCCATATTTGATAAGCAAGCATGATCTTATAAAAAAACGTTCAAAGAAATAACTTGGCCATTTATAATATTGTTACTGAGCAAAGGCTAGCTCATTCGGAGAGATTTTTCCCATTGATAGGGCTGAATTCAAGCATTCCTTATGATTAAACATTCTCTTGTAAATTGAAAAAGTATTTTCTAAGAGAAGGATTCAATATGTTATCACTTTAGTACGGATTTGTTGGCCATTTATTAATGCACTCAATGCATAGTTATGAAGTAGCAGCATGGTCAAAGAAGAAGATGTCACATATCCTTGTTGGCTACTGAAAGGATAAAAAAGATCATCTCTGTGCTTCATCAACTTGCACACAGCTCCTGAATCAAAGGTTAAGGGATCTTCAGAAAGTTCATGGAAAATGCACACCATGAAGAAACTATGTGTAGATTTCAATTTTTTGTAACCAAATAAATTTACTCTTTTAATTGCATTTTTCCATAAACATTTTGAGGTGCCTTCATATGCATGCACCATGAGAGTAGTTCCTACAGTAATGCAGAGCCTTGGAGGACAAAGAAAACCTTCCTGGATGGAGAATCAAAGAAAGATTCTTAAGAACATCTCACTTGGGCTTAAAGGTGTAGGTATGATTTCAACACGTACGGTCCAGACTGGGAGAAATGATTCAAAATGGAACTAAAATCCTGAACAACAAATGCTAAACAAATATCAAATGTAAGATATGATTAGGAAATGCTGAGTGATCAAGCTGGAGTGGAGGATTCATGTAAATGAGTTGAAAAAGGAGTCTAAAAGTACTGAAGAGGGACTGATTGTACTTAGAATCAAAGTTTGGAAATACTGAGCTACTAGAAAAGGATTTTTCAGCAAGGATATGGTGAGACACGAAAGTTCCTAGAGAAAGAAAAATATGGTTGGTACGAAGAGAATGGAGAGAAGAAGAACTTGAGTCCTCGGCCAGAAAATAGGTTGTTATAAATAATATCTGTGTGTAGTAGCAAGCATCTAGGCAAAGTGGATATGGTGAAAATACAAAGTAGAGGCCACTTCAGAGAAACATGGAAAATCATGAATAAATAAAAAGAGGAAAGCATAAACAATATTTAGGGGTTGGTCTCTGTGCTAGAGTCAAGGACAATTCCAGGTTTAAGTTGACCATGTATTTTGGTTTGCCTAACCTGGGTGGGGAATGTCTGGCCTGTGGGCCTTGTCAGGCCCACAAATCATTTGGTCTGGGCCTGCCAAGGTAACCACAGCGGGGTACTAGAAATTCAATTAATCTATAGCCAGCTAATTTTTAAGTTGACAATTTTGTACGGCTGCAAATGGTGTTGTATATAAATATCCAAATGGCCCTCGGCAGAAAAAAAATTCTAGACCCCTGTTAGAACAACACAATTTTAGCTTATTGTTTATGCTTTCAGCCTGGCATTTGCCTGGAATTTTTCCTTTTAAAAATAGTGTTGTTAATAACAGTTCCACCACACAAGGTTTTATTAGACTTCTGTATCCTACTTCAACTCCTAACAAGCCTCCTTTAGAATGGTGTAGGAGCCGTGTGCAGTTAACAGGGCTCTCACTGTGATGCATAGTAAACTCTGAAACAGTGCACCCCTCCTCTCCTAACCCTTTCTAGTCTCAAGGAAATGCATATTTTCCTATGGAGTACCACATGCACAGCACTGGCTGATAAAACGATGAGAGTTGAGCCCTAGAAGCTATAAACAGCTCACTCTTTCCTGCCTGGTGGTGGTGGAAAAGATATTAGTGCTGCAGACTCTACTGCTCATTGGATGCAACAGCTATGTATCATCGCCCTTGCCATGTGACTCGTGCCATGACTTGTGAGAAGCATGAGGCTGCCAGGATGCAGTGAGGTTAGTGGGCCATGTGTGGAATCATGGATTAGATGGAGGTGAAACATGTATGGGAAAGGGAGCCTGAGGAGCTCTGCTATGGGCATCAGTATACTCTTGCTATGGTAGTTTATGTGTTTTCTAGTACAAATCTACAACTAAGTTAAAGAGACGGAAGTTATGCTTATTTTATTTTGCAATAAGCCTCTTCCGAAGCAATAGTTTAATGTATTCATGATCAATGAAAATTAAATATCGATTTCCTGTTTCTCAAGAATGTTGATGAGCATATAACATAAGGAATACCATACACCATGAGGGTTTTATTTTTTTAAGATTTATTTATTTATGTGAAACTCAGAGTTACAGAGAGAAAGGGAGGGATGAGAGAAATTGGGAGAGAGTGAGAGAGAAAGGAAGAGAGAGAGAGAGAGAGAGAGAAACCTCCCATCTTCTGGTTCACTCCCCAGATGGCTGCAAGGACTGGCAAAGCCAGGAGCTTCTGGATCTCCCGTGTGGGTGGCGAGGGCCCAAGCACTGGGGCCATCTTCTACTGCTTTCCCCAGACCATTAGCGGGGAGCTGAATCGGAAATAGAGCAGTCGAGACTTGAACTGCTGCCAGTTTCGCACGTGGCATTTTACCTACTATGCCACAATGCTGGTCTTTAATGCTATCACTGACTGTTAAGACAACTAGAAAACAGAAATATGAAGAAGTAGCAACCACTATGTCAAAAGCTAGTCCTTATTTTAAAAGACTGTGCTCAAAGTAAGGAATCTAACACATTCAGCTGCTTAATATATATTTACATATCATTCCATGCAGCAGAATTTTCATTAAGGTAAAATGACAATTACCCTAAATTAATTTTACTCATTGTTTTTTAATTACAAGAGGTGCCTTAGATCTGCAAGTAATGACTACCAATGAGCTAATACCATTAGTAGAAGTGTTCTCCAAACAGTTAAATGATGACTGTTTTATGGCAAAATGAGAAGACAAAATAAAATAGAAAATCAGCTCATTTCAATAATAGTTCAATTTTTTTAAAACCAATTCACAAAACCAAAGAAAAACTTTGTTTTGTTTAAGGTGAATTGTCTGCTCTTATTTTAAATGCTTCTGTCTCTTTAACTTAGAAGTTAAATGTTGTGAATACAATGGTAATATGAATATAAATACTGGTTGAGCAAAGCATCACAGTAAAACAACATCTTTACTAAAATCTATGGAGCAGAAGTATACTTGAAATTAATTGTGCTGCACATATAATAAAACCACGATATTTTATTAATTTAAATGGAAAGTAGTCAAAATTTATACATACTTTTAAATATACAAAATTACAGTTGAATGAACCATTTGGAGGATAAAGTTGATGCTGAATTCAGAACTAATCTTATGCATGACAGTACATACTTTGTGCACTACTGGTCTTTAAGCACTTTTAGAAATTTTTGATTCCTTGAAGCACCACCTTATAAATGAACCAAAGTATCCTGCAGTGGCGCTGGGCTATTTTTGCAAATAAGGCCTCTGAAATTATATTGAGTTTTGTTCAAAATTAATTTAAGTCTTTAAAGCATCCAACAAACAAAGGAAAAATTAACTTCATATTTTTAATCTTTGCAAATGATAATATTAAAAATAAAATTATAAACAGGAAAACATTGAAATTTATTCCTACAAAAACAAGCAATGTGGCCGGCGCCACAGCTCACTAGGCTAATCCTCCGCCTAGCGGCACTGGCACACCGGGTTCTAGTCCCGGTCGGGGCGCCGGATTCTGTCCCGGTTGCCCCTCTTCCAGGCCAGCCCTCTGCTGTGGCCAGGGAGTGCAGTGGAGGATGGCCCAAGTCCTTGGGCCCTGCACCCCATGGGAGACCAGGAAAAGCACCTGGCTCCTGGCTCCTGCCACCGGATCAGCGCAGTGCGCTGGCCGCAGCGCGCAGGCCACGGCGGCCATTGGAGGGTGAACCAACGGCAAAAGGAAGACCTTTCTCTCTGTCTCTCTCACTGTCCACTCTGCCTGTCAAAAAAAAAAAGTGGAAGTTTCCTTCTCCCTTCAAAAACAAGCAATGAACTAAGAAAAAATTAATAAGAGCTCATGTTGGGTAAAATATTTAATTTTAAAATTATATAATTGTACTTTGGAAAATT